GTTCGGTCTGGAAAAATATTTCTTTCCTGCTGTCTCATCCATCCCAAACTGCAAGAGGGAAAAACTGATTCAGGCCTGAGAACCAAGACACTACAGGTTTTAACTGACTTCAAAAGTGTGTCAGGGCTCATTGATAAATACTTCAGGAAGGCAGGTGGGTGGGACTTGTAAGGCTTAATTGAAGGAAGGCCTGGGAAGAGGTGCTGATGATACAAAAATGCCCCTTGTTTAAAGTTTCATCGATGGTGAGAATTTACCTTCAGGTGTGACTGGGAGGAGACTTGCCAACTTCCACAGCATATGGATCTATCACAGTATACAGCTCGTGAAGAAAAAAAAAAGCCTTATATATATTTTCTGTTAATATTAATTCTTACAATGAAATGTAGTTATCTAACATATTTACGAGAGATTAAATTAAGCAAGATAATGCAAGGTTAAGCTATGAAAAATAGTCTATGTTCTGCATATTGCTTTACGATTCTTGTAGGGAACCTAGAACTGTTGTTCATGTATAAATATCACCCAAAAGGCTGTCAGCCCTATATTTTTAAAATAAAGAATAGTTATAATTGAAATAGCCTTAGCCCTAGTTCTATAGGGTTTGGCTGTTGAATATTTTTATGGTTGAAATGTTTAGTTCAGAAAAAACATACTTGCTTGTATATATTTTTGATGTCCAGGATTCCACTTATTCCATTGTTTCTTTAATTTAAATGGCATGTTTATATGTCTTTTCTGCTGTACCAGAATGGGAGAAAGGGGGCTGGATATCCCATGCACCAGATATGATTTAAAAATATTGCAAAAAAAAGAATTCATTGGGGGGGGGAAATAATCAGTGAAACATTGGATTTGGCCAAATATAAAAAGTTTAAAGCAACTTTACAGTGTTACATTGACAATATTTCTGAAGACACAAGTTCAGATTCCTTAGGCATTTGACTTGTGAATACTAACAAATCTGTTAAATTTTTACAGTATGTTGTGTAGAAGTTAAAAGGAATGACACAAGCCACTGGTGCACTTTTCAGTTCTTTCTGGGGATCTGGTGAAGCAATACAGGGATGAGCCCAGAGCAGCTGCTATCCCAGATAACAGGTTTTTGTGGATTTGATTTACAAGTGAGATTTTCAGTGGAGGTTGATGAATTTGTCTCCCACTGCTTCAACTGTTTCAGCAACCTGAGCTGCATAAATTCATAGTATGTCACAAATGTACATTCATATGCAACTGTCCCTTGATCCTACTTACCAAGTATTAAAAGAAATTTTATTTAGAATTTTCTCTCATGAGAATGACATGAGAAAATTAAATACTGAGAATTAACAAAGCCTTATTGTTACAAGTAGCTCAGGAACTGTTCATTTACTAATGACATGCACAGTAAATACATCATGTCTTTATCTGATCTAGTATGGAAGTTTGGGGTTTTTTAAATCCAGTTGCTTGTGTTTAAAAAAAACAACCTTTTTTTATTATTCTGAGAAAAATAAAAAATTATTTGGGGGTGTTAGGAGTTTTTTGTGGTTTTGTTGGTTTTGATTTTGTTGTTAAATTTTTTTTTTTATTACATGCTGCACTGGATTTTTAATCTCAACTCTGTTATGTTGGTATCTCCAGCCCCTTTTTTGTGGTGTCTTTTAATTTTCTCCAAGAATCACTGTTTGTGTATATGTGCTCTAGTGAACTCGTGTAGAAACTGGGATCAGCAGCACTGGATTGTAAAATATTGTACTGAAATTCATTGTCGATATTTCCTTGCATTGTAATTTCAAATACTCAGGTAACTGTAACAGTATCTCAGTAAGTCAAATACTTTTATAAAACTACTTAAAGAGCTGGTGGTCTGGTCTTTATTCCTTATGTGTGAGAATATCCAGGTGGAAATTGTCTGTGTGCTCCTGGGGGTGAGGGTCAGGTTGCCTGGACTTGTCCTTCCTGTAGGATTCTTTAGGAATAGTTCTTTCCCAAAGCCTTGTCTACCCTTGTTGGTTGCATTGGATGTTGAGTGGGAGATTTTGGACACAATTTGTAGATTTTTAGTGCCTGTGGATGCTACCCTGAGGAGCCAGTGAGGGCTGAGAGGCTGCTGAGGCCTGAGGAAGAGGGGCTGGAGGGAGGTTCTGCAGGAGCCACTGCTGTAACATCTCATTGCAGCACTGTTGCAGGGATCCTAGCAATGAGGAATGACACTGCAAGTGGTTTGGATTGACAGAGGAGGGGAAAAAACTCCAGTGAGACCAACCAGCCTTGTAGTGTCCCTGATCTGCCTTGAAGGAGGAGGTGGCATTTAGAGTCTTCCTGTCATCAGAACCTCTCCTGGTGGCCACAAGCTCTCCCAGATAACTGAGATGGGCTTTGCAGTGAGGTTCTCGTCCCTTCAGTGCTCACAGGACTGTCCCCTGTCACGTCTCAGGTCATAGGTTGGACTTGATGATCACAAAGGTCTCTTTAAACCTAATTAATTTTGTGATTGTGTCTCAGGGACCCGATTCTGTCCAGTTTGTTCAAATGGTCCCTAAAGTGGTCATCCTTCCTGAAGGTACAGACCTTCCCACTGGGTTCTCCCTCTGCTGACTTTCCCAGGTGTTCCTGCAGGCTTGGTTAACACAATTTTGTCAGGGGCAGCAAATCCCAAGGATAATTTTTCTGTGCCAGACAAATACATGCAATAACTTTCTCTGCAGCAGGGAAGCTGGTGTGGAGTCATTTCCTCCGAGCTTTCAATGGAACAACTTCAAAGCATCGTAGTAAGTTGTGTAAACCCAAAATTTGACACTGCTTTGGGCAGCTTTATGTGAGTACAGCTACAAGGGTATTTCACATACATCTGAAGTTTATTTTAAAAAGGCAAAAATTAATCACAGTGCAATGTATGATAAAGTTGTTTTTTTATGTTTGCTTTGATGATGAGGGTGCTAATGTCAGCACCAGCCCTGGGGTGGGAGTGTTGAAGGTTCTGTTCATTGTTCATGGTTGTTTAAACAAATGTGTTTGGTTTAGGTGTCTGATGGCAGCTGCGTATTGCATATTATTGCCCAAATCATCCACCACATCCTTATTATTGCCCAAATCTTACCATCACACAGACTAGAAGTTAAATCAATCCATGGCAAAATGACTTCTTATAGCCAAGCTGTAAAACTTGCTGCTGGACTGGTAAGAGAGATTAGAATTTTAGGTTGCAGAGTTGTAAATAGCCACTAGAAGAGGAAATAGCCATGTCTTTTGGACCCTAAAGAAGGATTTTTTTCCTGATCTCTGGCAATGCCTGATCCCATGTCCATTCTCAGCATAACAGAAATCTTGCTTTCTCTAAGGAGAGTCTTGGTAGATTGAAGAGGCCAGTGAGCTTACCTGCTGTGTCAAATCCCAGCTTTCAGAGAGGGGGAAAAATTATCTAAAAATACTTTGTGAGGACGTGTTTTACATTTCACCCAATACCAGCTCTCTGTGACTGCTGTGGGAGCTCAGTGGGAGCCCAGTGTCTGTTTGCTGATTCTGGGGTCATGGTCCCAAAAGAAGGAGCATTCAAACTAATAGGGAGTAGGTTTAGATTGGATGTTGGGAAGAAAATCTTCCCTGTAAGGGTTGTGAGGCCCTGGCACAGGATGCCCAGAGAAGTTGAGGCTGCTCCATCCCTCAAAGTGTCTAAGGCCAGGTTGGACGGGGCTTGGAGCAGCCTGGGCTAGTGCAAGGTGTCCCTGCCTATGGCAGGGGGTGGAATGAGATGGGCTTTAAAGGTCCCTTCCCACCCAAACCACTTTGGGACTCTCACTTCTAGCAGAGCCTGAGGTCCGGGGGAAAGTCCCAACTGCTGCTATTGTGTGTAGAACAGAGCAGGGGTTATGCAGGATGTAGTTCTTTAGTGTGTCATTTTGTTTTCCCATCAGACGGTGGGTCAACCCCCACCTCTGGCATCCTTCCCTCAAGGGGAGCCGAGAGCTCTTCCTTTCTCACTGGCAGGGGTAGCACACACCTTTGCCCTCAGGACGCGGATCCCCAGTGCTGTGGCAGGGAGTCCTCAGGGCTTTGGGGTGCACCATGCCTTGGAGTGCCTCTGCCCCTGTCCCGGGGGGCTCCGGCAGCAGCTGAGGGGACGCGGCCATTTGCGGGGAAAAAGAACTCCCCACACCCATTATCATGGAATTACAGAATGGTTTGGGTGGGAAGGGACCTTTAAAGTTCATATCGTTCCACCCCCTGCCATGGGCAGGGACACCTTCCACTAGCCCAGGTTGCTCCAGGCTCCGTCCAACCAGGCCTTGGACGCTTCGAGGGATGGAGCAGCCTCAACTTCCCTGGGCAACCTGTGCCAGGACCTCCCCACCCTCACAGGGAAGGATTCCTTCCTAATCTCTAAACCTCCTCTCTTTCAATGTGAACCAATCCCCCCTTGTCCTGTCAGTCCAGGTTCTTGCAAACAGACTCGTCCCACCTTTCCGGTAAGTCCCTTTCAGGTGCTGGAAGGCAGGGCCTTCACGCTGACGTCCCTACAGCGGGATCAGCGTCCCGCTTGGGGAAGATTCGTGCGGGTTCCGAGGGATTTGAGGGCTCGGGGCGGTGTCTCCGGAGCGGTCCCGCCCCACGCTCCAAACGCTTCCGGGGCAGCGCCGGGGCCGAGACGGGGCGGAGGAGGCGGCTCGATCATGGTGGGTGAGGCCGGTCCGGAGGCCGGGCGGGGCCCCTGTGCCGTCCTCGGGGGTCTCTGTGCCTCCACGGCCCTGCGGCCGGCGCCGAGCGGGGCGGTCCCGGTCCCGGCTCCCCTCAGGCACAGGCGCTGGCCCGCGGGCGGGGCCCGGGTAAAGGCGAGACTCCGCCGCGGGGGCTGAATGCTCCAGGCCCGGTTCGGTTCGTGTTGGGTTGTGTGTCGGGTTCTGTGTCAAGCCCCCGGGCGGGGTCCTGTTTGTGTGGGGCGGGCCCGGAGCTCCGGGCCGGGAGAGCTGCGGGTCCCGGCGCTGCTTCCGAGGGGCTTCACTGGCTCTGGCCGGCCCTGAGTCACTGCGGGGAGAGGCCGAACCTTCCCCCGATCCAGCCCAGCCCTGTGCCGGGGAAACGCTCACAGCGAAACCTGCATTTCCTGCGGCTGCCGGGGCACATCCCTGAAGCTGGAAGCAGTCAGGAAAAAGAGACTGGGTTTGGATGTCTAATAGCCGGGGCTGTATCCGTTCTGTTGTGATTGTATTGGAGGTTTCTCCCTGCTCAGATGTGTTGCCGGCTATTGCATGTTGATGAAACTGGGGATCAAAAAGTATGTCAAAATTTGTAAAAAAATAATTGCTAACTGAAGTTGCAGAGGGAAAATTGAAATTATATAATAAGATGTGGTTTTTAGGCAAACCTAGGAGTTCAGGTATTCCAGATGAAAACAGGAAGATAAAGGCTGCTGTTGTACATATAGCAAAGGGTATGTAGCAGCAAAATGGTGTTGAGGGAGTGTTCATTTTCCTTTTCTAGAGTGCATCTCCTTCTCCATGTGATATCTCTTGTAGTCATTCAGCCCTTCATTAAAATGTTGTGTGTCTGTGTGTGTTTCATGAGTTAAACATGTAATTTTTTTCTCAGTGCTGTTTTTGTTGGTCTGGTGAGCTGCACTGACTTGTGGAGGTGCTAGACAAGCTCCAAAATGGGAATAGGAGGAGCAGGACCTTCGCACATCAGCAGCAGTGAACTGTCAGAGCAGATCACCCACCTGAGAGTTAGATCAGCTGAAGGTGCTAGAGGAAATTAAAAACTGGCATCCTTCTTTATGGATGCTGCTTTGCATCTGAAAAGGTTTATTAAGGTTTATTAAGGTCCTGTGAGGGGAAAGTATTTAATCAGGACTTAAATCGTGCTAGTAAGAAAGCAGAAAATGAGATCTTAATAGATTTAACATTTTGCCCTTGTCTTTTCTCAGCATTTGTACACCCTTTAGTATGTCCTTTGTTTAATCTCCCTTGTCTTCCATTTGAGAATAGTCCGGCATTCAGAAATAATCGAGAATTTTGTTGAAAATACTTGAATTTTTCTGTGCTGGATCGCAAGACCAGCTCGGGGGGATCCCATCTCTTATGAGCTACAGGTTGTGTTACCAAGAGCATCCTGAGGAAAGTGCTGGTGGTGCTGGGGTTGGTGTTGGTTTTTTTGTGTTGTGCTGTGCTGGGTTGTGTTTGTTGTTGGACAAGGTTTCTTCCCAGGGAACAGGGCATGTGACAACTTTGTGTCCATTTGCTGTGGGAGGAAGTGGAGAGGGTTGTTCAGGGTGCCCGGGGAACACAGCCTTGGCCAAATGCCCCTTGTAGGTCTCACCTGTCATGGTTTGAGTGATTCCTGTCTCCCTAAACCATTTCTGGGGGACTCTGCCATGCAGAATCTGAAAGACGTTGCTTGTTTCTGTTTCCTTTAATGGGAATGAAAAGTGCCAGCTTTGGAAATCAGCTTAGGTGCAAGATTTTCCCACCCTACTGCAGATGCCATAGTTACATTTTAATGAGTGTCTTGTAGCAGGAAAGTTGTGCAGAAGGTACTGAAACCTCCTTTGATGGTTTTCATAGAGCAGATAAAGGACTCTTGCCTTGGCCTGCGTTTGCATTTTTTCTTTTTTAAGTTGTGAATTATTGGCAGTGGTTACAGCCTCACAGACATCCCAGCACAAATCAGAATTAGAAACAAAGAGTGTTCATTCATTGTTTTCCCCCTTACTTCTCTTATTTGTAATTGCTTTTGGCATTCATTTAATAAAAGGGAAGGTCATCTTGCACCCACAATGTATCTTTTTCCTACTTTTTTCATAAAATCCATGTCCATTTTCAAAGATGATTTTTGTTTGACACCTAAATTGTAGCAGTCTGATTGCAGCTTCCAGCTGCAAGCCTTCAGCAGGAGGCTTGAGGAGGAGGAGAGAGGGGAGTTCCAGGATGATAATCACAAATGAGTAAAGAAGAAAGGCAGGTGGAAAATAACTGGAAAGGTCATGCAGAAAAGGTGGCACCAAAGTACAGACACTTGGCTGTATAAACCAGTGTAGACAGTGGCTGTTTAATCATCCCTGTGCAGCTTTGTTTTCAGCCACATTATCCCAAAGCTTTTGTGGGAGGCAAAGAGCAGCTGTAACCCTGTATTGATTTGTGCTTTGTCTTGCAGGCTGAGGTGGAGGAAACACTGAAGCGAATCCAGAGCCAGAAGGGAGTGCAGGGAATCATCGTGGTGAATGCGGAAGGTGCTGTGTCAGCCTCACTTTTCCGACTTATCACTTACTCCAACCACCCACTTTGAGGGCTGCTGCTTATACCACTTGCACTTAGCTTAGAGTCCAGCTTTGGGAAAGGTTTTCCTGCAGCCCAAGGAGACAGACAGTAGTCAGGCTACAAGAGAAAATTTGGTTTCCAATTTCTGCAAGCTCACTTTTTTATTTTAGGAAATAAATTTAGATAATTTGCATAAGCTCCGAAATATTTTGAGTTATTGCAGTGTTTGAAACTGAGACTTATCAAAACTTTAATCAGTAGCCCTGAGGCTCTTACAAGATGTAAAACTTGCTGCTGGGCCTGTCCAGAGCACTGCTGGCCTGGCAGACTCCAGTTCTTTAGCACTGTCTGGTGCTTGTAATCTCGTGGAATTCATCAGCAAGTTGTCACTTTTTGGAGTCTCTGAAGAGTTCAACAGAGCAACTTCTTCAGAGCATTCTGAATACACTGTGAGCAGTCCAAAAATTGAATATTTCCTAGAAATAATCCTTAGAAAAGATGACAGTAGCTACATGTGAATAAACTGAGGATCAGATCATGCAGCTTGGCTCCTGCTCACTGCTTTTCTGTGATGGTTGAGTGGGTTGTGCTCTCTGTGCTGTAGCTGCAGTTACTGGAACACACACCTGGTTTTGCCCTGCAAAATTTGCTACTTGGCTGTTGTGTTCGGACCCAGGAGCTGGGGTTTCATTTGCTTTTGGTGGGAAAACACATCTAATGGGTGGCTGAAGTGTAAGGGAGGGAAAGCTCTGGCTGAAGAGTGTGTCTGCCCTCCAGGCTGGTTATCACTGAACCAAGGACCTCCCCAGACTGCACCACCTCTTAGGGCTGAATGTTGGAGCTTCAGCCTTGGAGCTGTGTGATGCAGCAGCTGATGTCCTCCATAATCACTGATCCCAGCCTGGCCTAGCTCAGTATTATTTAACTGGTGTTGGGGAGACTTTCTATAGTAAAAAAGATGTCCCCAGTCAGGAGAATAACCTGCAACACTGATATTTCCTCTCTCCTCTACAGATAATGATTTTTATTTCTATTTCTAATTCTCAAAATGCAAGAGTAAAGCACTGATGCTACTAGAGGCAAACAGTTCTCACCTACACCTGTGGTCCCACATCTCAGCTTTTTCATATCTTGTTTTTCTTCATGTTTTCCTCTTGCCTTCAAAGAGAACACTCCTAACCCCTGGTGCAGTGACAACTGAGATTGGGCCTGGTGATGCCCAGAGTGGGGGTGGTTCTGGATGTTTGTCACTGAGCCTTGCTGTCCATCTCCTGCAGGTATTCCCATCAAGAGCACCATAGACAACACCACCACCATTCAGTACGCCGGCCTCATGCACAGCTTCATCATGAAGGCCAGGAGCACCGTGCGGGACATCGATCCCCAGAACGACCTCACATTCCTGCGGATCCGCTCCAAGAAAAACGAAATCATGGTTGCTCCAGGTAGGAGAGAGCAGGGCAAAAGCAGGAATCTGGGAATCCAGCAGGATTGTTTTCTCTTGAGACTGACACTGTCAGCCTGGAAGGAGTCTGCCTGCTGCTTGTGTTCATATTGGATAATCCCTTCTTTCCAAGAAGCTCTTCTGCTTTCTGGAGAGTTGAAAGCTTTATCATTCATCACTTATCAGACCTAAGTTTCCTTTGTCATGTTTGAATGTGGCAATTCCCTTCCCTCATTTTGTGTAGATCAAAGTAGAAGGTATTAGATAATGCTTGAGAGAGTGCTGCACCCTCTCATGTTTTGTTTTTCAGTATAAAACCGTAGGTTTGGGAAGAATAAATTTCTGGGAGCAATTTCCATTCAGAACTGTGGACTGAGTGATAAAACAAGACAGTCCTGACCTTCCAGTTCTGGGAAAAGTATTATAGCACACTGTAGATGTAATCATGAGTCATGGTATTATACAGCAACAGCAGCAACCTTCTTTTCAGGAAACATCCTCAGCATTTTGTTTGATTCCAGACTGGGAAGCAGCGAGATGAGTGCAGGTCCCTCATGTGGCAGGAATTCAGCCTTGTCCCTGTGTGCTCCCTGCTGGGATGGGGCTGGTGGAGAGGCCAAGCACAGGATGGCACTTCCCCTAGGCAGGCTTGGGTCAGGGCAGATTTTAACACAGGCTCTGGTTCATGCTGAGGCAGCCTCGGATTTCCACAGGAAGGATGGGAAGAGGAATAAGCATTGCTCCAGAAAAATCTGCTGTGGCCCCAGTGTGCGTGTGAGAGAAGGGCAGTGGTTACCTTGTACCAGTTACTGTAGTTTCCTGGCAGAAACTAACTATGGGTTAAATTCAGCTGCCCTGGGAACATGCAGTTTCTAAAGCTGAGAGTTTTTTGCAGTAAAACCCATAAAATAAATGATCTGACATTTGGAGCCTATTTTGCTCATTGAGAATGAATGTCAGGGCTCTGGAGTTTCCACAGCACACCAGAGAGATGTGAAAAAAGTTGGGATTTACTGTTTCTGTGAACAAATACCAGCAATAAAAGAATAATTTTCTTTTTTCTTTTTCTCTCCAGATAAAGACTATTTCCTGATTGTCATCCAGAATCCAACTGAATGATTACACTGACTCAGTCTGGTTTTTTCCCTTTGCCTGTTTTATTTTCCCTGTTTTATTTTCTATTTAATGGTAAAGAATAGAGCATTAGTGTTAACTGTGCTGTGACTCTTCAGTAAGGTTTGGGAAAATGAAAGCAGGTGGTTTTGTTGTCTACAAACAGAAAAAAATGGCGCTTTTTGTATCACAAGTCATTTTGAGGGGGAGCTAGTGAGTTGAAATTCGGCAGTAAAAAATGCAACAGATTCTTTTAATAGCTAATATAATAAATTTCAAATGATAACCAAAAAAGACTATTCTTTGTATGCTTCTATGCTTCTTTCATCACTGAGCTCTGCTTTTACACTCTTAGTTTTGAATGGCTGTAAATATGACTGCCTGTCCTCTAGTTCTGTCTTACTCTGTTGATTTTACTTCAGAAAAGTCTGACCATAAGAAATTAAAGTGTCACCAGTAACTGGTTTTGTCTTACGTGTTTTTCTTCTGAAGATTTTAAGTTTTCTCATGATTGATTGAATTTTTCTTCAAGAAACAGAACCTTCCTAGGACTGTTTCTGTTTGTCTGTTGCTTTCTCTGAACAAGGATTTGGCCCAAGGGCATGTGCAGCGTACTCACAATTGGCTCTTGTGTTGCAGCGTTTTCCTTCCACTTTCTTTTTGTTCCAGATGGAATTTTCATGGCTAAGGAAGGCAATTGAGGCTGTCCATGGGAGATCTCATACTATCAAAGCTCTATAGCAAATTTGATCTGCTGTTTTCCTTTAGCATTTTTTTATTGATGCCATTAAGCACAAGAAAAAACCCCACATGGTTACTCCAAAATGCTCAGTGGGTTATTTTGGTGGAGATTTTCTTCAGGAAAAAAAAAAAAATAAAGCAGGGCTGGGGGGTGCTCCAGAAAGTGCAGCTGTGGAGATTTTGGTAAAAAATGTTGTTGACTTGACATTTGTGGCTTTCAGAGCCCAGCAAAGGGTGGATGTGTGGGGGACTCAAATAGCCACGGTAACCTACATGTTCAGGGTTTTCTCTGTGCATTTTCAGACCTGGGCATTACTTTTTGGACTGTGTCTAATGTAGGTGGTGCCATGACTCTGAAGGTCAGAAATGCCTGTTGGGGTCTGTAGCCCTGTAAGCATCAGTGCTTTGGGTGTCCCTGCTGCCCCCTCGACTCAGTGTTGGTTGTTGCTATTCATGAGCTGTGGCTCCCTTTACACTAGGTCTGGTTTAAGTCATTCCATCAAAACAGGGAATAGGGTCTGGAATTCTGCTTGGCCTTTGGAGCAGCTCCTGATACACAGCAGTTTACATAATGCCTGATCTGCAATAATTGAATGCTGCCTCCCAAAGAAATGACCTCCAGCAAACTGAAGCCTGGGTAATAACTGAACAGTGAAGCAAGGCAGAAGAAAAATGTGACCTCAGTCATCTCTCTCTGCTGTTTGTAACCCTGAGAAATATTTCCTTGGAGGTGGTGACCTGCTTATGGATTTCGGTTTTCCCAATTAGGTGGCAGTGCTACTTCTCTGAACAGTGAAAGATCTGCAGTGTCCTGCATTCTTTTGGACAGTTCCTTAAGGACAGTTGTCCTACCAGTAGCTTTGTGTCAGAGGAGCTTGAGACAGAGAGTGTTGAGTGTTTTACTTAAAACAAGCTGTAATAAATAACCTATTGCAAAACAAAATATCATGGCCTTTTCTGTTGTGTTGAGATCATAAACTTGCAGTGAAATGACTGAGCTCCTGCTATGTGCTGGTTGGTTGGGGGTTGGTTTAGGTTTCTTTTTTCAGGGATTGAGAGCAGCCTCAATGAAATATACTTGGGAATTTGAATGAAAGGCTCTTAGACTGGGTTTGGAGTCAAGGAGCTTGTTGGATCCATCTGGGCAGGGCCTTGCTTATGCCATGTACCATGTAGCTTGTGCCACCTTTACACCAGCATACAAAGTTAAAGATGTATTTTTTAAAACTGGCAAGGGGAAGAATGAAGCTGAAGAACAACAACTTCCATTTAGTTACTATGGAAAAAAGTAACTGGATAGTAACTAAACTAATAAACTAAACTAAAGTTTATTTGGATCAGGACCATTAAAGGGTCACAGAGCTGGCAGCAATTTCCATGTATGAAAGTTAGGAGAGGGTTTCACTTGCATTATTGTAAACAGGGTCAAAAAAAGGATGGATGGAGCTCAGCCTCTGGTCCTGTGCTTCATCAGTCTGGACCTGGTTATTTTTGTGGTAAAACTACTGCCAAACTGAGGAAGAGTAGAAAAATGAGCGTTGTGGTTCCTGTCTTTTTTCATAGCCAGGATCACAGGTGGCCTGAGCAGCCTGTGCCACCTGCACCTTGGAGCTGCTCTTCTCTGGGACTGGAGACTGGCCTGGTTTGCTGTCTTGAAAAAGTCAATTTTGGTTCTGGTGGATCCTCATGGAAGGCTGAGGAAGCATCTGCTGCTGGGAAAACAGCCCCTGATGGATTAACAAGGTAATGAAAGGGAGTTTGGGCATGGCTCTGGGCTGGGAAGAGCAGCACTTGAGGCCCAAGGATGTGTCTGTTGTGCTGCCTCTGTGCTGAGATAGGGCTGTGATGGAGGAGTGGAGGTAACGCTGTAAAAGCCGAGCTTGGAGACACCTTCTGTGGATTTGTGCCCAGAGCCCTCTCAAGTAACTCCTCCCCTGCCTAAGGTGGCTGATGACAGTGTCCTTCACATACAGGACATGGAGGACCTGTGGCTGCCCTATCCCTGGCTGTGTTCATGACCAAGTTGGACAGGGCTTGGAGCAACCTGGGACAATGGAGAGTGTCCCTGCCCATGGCAGGGGTGGGACTGCATGAGATCCAGTCTGTGATCACCAGTCTGTGATTTATGTTTGATCTTGTCTTAGCTACTTCTCTAAGGGACAAAGGCAAAGATCTCACACCAAGAGAAGCTGGGCTCAAGTGAGCAGAGCTACAGCAGCTCCTGGGACCCACCAGCTGCAGGAGAAGCAGAAGCAGCTGGGGGTGCAAGGGCAGAAGCTCAGACACTGCCCTGGCCAGCAGGAGCCTGAGCATTAACACAGTTCTGTTAACAAAAATACCCTTCCTTTACCAGCATTACAGGATTCCTTAAGGGAGATTTCCCTCATCTGCCATGGTTTCACAAGATCCAGGAGTGCTCATTGTCAATGGTGCTACACTGTGGAATCTGGCATTTGAGAAGTTCATTGTTGATTCCAGGTCATGTTAGGACAGCTCACTGGTGCCTTAAACCTTTGATTGATCCAGGGGAGAGGAGGGTTGGATCTGAAATGCCCCTCCTTAAATAAGGAGTTTTGCCAGTGACATCAGTAAGACCAGGCAACAGAGGCATTAATGTCTGCAGGATTGTTCAGGAAGCTGAGGGCTGAAGGAAGAAATGTATAAATTAAATCAAACTTCTTTGATCCATATCCCATTTCTGGAAGTACATTAACATGCTGAGAAGCTCCAGAACTCCTATGAAATGGGATTTCTTCTCCCTCTTCAGGGTCTGAATAATATTCTGTGGAATTATGGCCCCAGTCCTCCTACGAGGCCTGCATGGATAAAACCAGGGGCCACATCACTAAACTGGAAAGACTTACACATTCTTCTCACCAAAAAGAGTTTCACACATTATAACAACAGTAATAAACCCCTTTGCTGAGGATGAAGTCTGTTAGGGGTCATCACTTGCCATGTCTGATTCAACATTCCTGCTTTCCCTTCAATATTCTGATTAACAGGGCCTATATCAGAGATTAATATCTTTACTTGTATTTTAATTATGAAGGTGAATGTAAAGAGTTTATATTTCCTTACCAGTGTATGCTTTTTTAACTACTGCTTGGTGAAGGAAAATCCATTATATTGGCCATGAAAGTGTTTTCTTTCTTGGGTAAATTTAACAAGGAAACAAGAATTTCTTCAATTCCCATTAAACATATATTTGTTTTACTAAGTGACACAGTAATCAGAGCAGTTTTATTCAAAACTGCATCTTTCATACATTTTTTTTTTACCAAGGTTGAACTTAATCCTTTAACATTTTGTGTTTGTTCCTGTTTTGTGCCAATTCACTGTAACAATGAGACATTGCTCCAGCATGATAGCTCCTGTTGTGGCATGCAGTGAGGAGAGATATTAGACCTGGTGAAACACTGATGCTCTGTTTGCAGTTGTTTTTTATTCATTTACCAGCTCCAGAAATAGCTGCCCTATTTGTAGTCGTGCTGCGGGCTTTAATATATTCAGCATAGCCATGGCTGTGCATGCAGCAAGGAAAACAAAGGGCTCATTAGCTGGGAGATGATTGGGGTAGATATGGGAATTGCAAATGACTGAGTACCTGTGTGAGAGTAGTTCATGTCCAGATTTGTTGGCTGGAATCTATGGTTTGAGCTGTTGTGGCTTCACCCCCACACAATCATTCCTTCTCCTCCACAACAGCCACGTTTGCTGCCCAAAGCTGGCAGTGACACTTGGAAGATGTTTGAGCCGAGATGTCCAGATGATGCCACTGTAGGCTGGAGTCACCAACACCTCTGTCCTTTGAGCACCTCTGGAAATCCCAGCCCAGGTGTGCTTCTGCTGCCTTAAGCAAGGCCCTCAGGTGTTCTGCTCCATCAGGACTGGAAAAAATGCTCGTGTTTGGAGTCATCTCTGAATAAACCATTATGTACCATCAAGAAATGGGGATGCTCTGCCATGGTGTTCCTATGGCATGGCAGTCCTCATGTCACCAGTGCTCTCTCTTATAAGTTGGGGCTTATAAAAAAGAGGGGAAGATGTCCTATTACTAATAGGACAAGAGGGAATGGTGTTAGATAAGAGGTGAGATTTCGATTGGATATTGGGAAGGAATTCTTCCCTGTGAGGCGGTGGCGAGGCTTGGCACAGGGTGCCCAGAGAAGCTGTGGTTCTCCCATCCTTGGAAGTGTCCGAGGCCACTTGACGGGGCTTGGAGCACCCTGGGATGGTGGACAGTGTCCCTCCCCCGGCAGAGGCTGGCACGGGCTGTTCGGTGTCTCCCATCCCAGCCCGTGTGTGGCTCCGAGCTCTCCGAGCTCCGTCTCTGCGGGGCCCACGGGCCGAGCTCCGGGGTCGCAGAGGTGGGCGGGGCCCCGGGCGGGACAAGCCCCGCCCCCGATTGGGCGGGGCCCGGTGACGTCAGCGCCGCTCCGCCGCAGCCCCAGCGCAGACGGAGCCGCCCGGTGCCGGTGCCGCCCCGGTGCCGCCGCGATGCCCTCGGACCGGCCCTTCAAGCAGCGCCGCACCTTCGGTGAGCCGGGACCGGCCGGGAGCGGCCGCGCGGGAGGGAGTCAGGGAGGGACGCGGGGATCTGCCCTGCGCCGCCCCCGCCGTGCTGCCCTGCGGGGCGGCCCCGCCCGGGCCGGGGCTCGGCGGCCGCGGGTCCCCGCCGGGCGCGGCCGCGGGAGCAGCGGGGCCCGGGCCGGGGGCGGCGGCGCCGCAGCCGCCGCGCGGTGATGTCATCCCGGCCGGGCCCGCACCGGGGGGGCCGCACCGCGGCCGGCCGGAGCGCAGCGGTGTCCCCGGGCCATCCCCGCTGTGTCGCTGTTCTCCCGGGGACCCGTGGCCCTGGGGCGCGGGGGCGGTCGCGACGGGCCGTGGAATGCCCAGGACGACGGTGATGGCCGGGTGGCCCTTTTGACTGTCAGAGCACAAAAGACCTCCCCAAAAATCGCCTTCCGCGCTCCTCATCTCGTCAGCGTTAGGGCGGGTGTTGTTCCAGGATACCACACGCCCTCTATGATGGTTGTGGAGACCCAGAGGAGCCAATGCTCACATCCTCCATCCTCCCCGCCCCTTTGTCAAAGGTGCGTGGTAGGGAGGCTCAAAAGGTGAGGAGGTGACTGTAGAAAGTCACAGATTTTATCTCCAGACCCGGTAGTGGAGTCCCAGGAAACATCAGCTGCTGTTTCTCTTGCCCTTTTCCAGCTGGCACAGGGAGAGGTGTGTGTCTCTGGCAGGTTAAATTCCCGGGGAGGGGGTATCAGTTGATCTTAACTGGCTGTATAATGCTGAAATTGGTGTTTCCATGCCATAAAAAAACCTCATATTGTGTCAGAGACTGTCCAAACGCAGGTGAGGGCGTTTCCTACATGAGTTTTAAAATTGGAGCTTTTGCCTGCTGAAAACTGATGATCCAGCCCCTTGCTGCTCTCTTGGAAACTGTAAATATTTGTTATTTCATTGGCACAGCCCTTCTGGCCTTGAATACTTACCCAGCCCTCCCCTGCCACAGAACCGAGCCAAGGGAACATGCACAAACAAGAACCAGCCAAAGCCTGGGAGCTTGGGATACTTGCTGGGTCCCTGCTGTGTTCTCCCATGCTATGTATTAAAACCAGTAAAGTCCTAAATCAGCCCCTTAGTAACCACCTACTCTTAAACCGGTGAGAATCAGCATATTATGGTCGAGAAGAGACTGGTTTGCCTCTGTGAATTGCTCAGACTTTGCGTGAGCCAGAAGGAAAACAAAATCTGAGGCTCAGAGTAGTTGAAAGAAATCAGGATTAAAATAGCCCAGGAGGGACAGAGGGGGTGAGAGAGTTTGGTGCTGGTAACTGCAAGTGCTCCTTGTTTCTCTGTACTTTCCTCTGCCCTTTTGCTCTCTCAGCTGACTGGGCTGCAGAGCTGAGCCAGGAGGAGGAGGAGGCCTGGCAGCCCCCACAGTTGCTTTGGGTCAGGGCTGGAATTATTCTGTTGGAGAAAGTAAATACGGCTTGTTTTTGTCTTTGAATCATTACACAACAGGAGCAGGAAGCGATTGTTTACAATGCAGTTGGAGAGGGCTGGTGGAAAACATCTCCAGTGATTCTGTACCCTCAGAATGGCTTAATTTTTAAGGCTTCAAAACTTTACAGAAATGGAACGGTTCCAAAAAAGCAGTGAAAAGGCAGAGTCAGGGCTATGGCTGTTTACAAAAGGCACCCAGGCTCCAGTTTCATGGCAAGTGGCTGCCTTAGGTCTTGATTTGCTGCTCCTCAGTGAAGATTCTGCTGTCCTCAATGCTTGTGTTCCCCCTTCTTGTATTTTTGGAATTTTTCTGTGAATTTCTTGTTTGTTCATCTGCTTGGTCTTGGGTCACTCCTGAGTAAAATTTCCTGGTTTCTCTTCGTCATTGTTGAGGACTTGAGAAGGGGACTGTCTGGGAAACACCAGGGGTTTGATCCAAGGTGTGTGGAGGGCATGGAGCTGTGACTCCTCCCGTGATCTGAGGTGTTGTCCCTGGTGGGCAGGTGAGCTCTGAGAGCCAGCCCTTGGCAGCAGAACGTCCCTGCTGTGGGTGCAGGGGTTAAAATGTGGCAGCACCCTCTGCATCCATGTGCTGAACCCAGAGGCTGAGGCACGTTCAGATCTGTTGCAGGAGTCGAAAACAATTCCCAGAACAAAGCTGTGGTGTGTGTCAGAGAACAGGCTGTCCTGGCAGTAGTGAGAGTGTGCAGCAGCCTGACGACACCGTCGCACTTCCCGAAAGGAACACGAGTCCTTGGGAGCATTGTCCCACTGCTGCTGAAGCGGGGTTTGCACTGGGCTGGCAGCAGCTGCCAGCTGTGTTTTCAATGCAGCACAAAACCAGCGTGGTGACAGACATGGGCCTGGATCCCAGACCGGCCAGAGGACCTGGAGTACCTCGCTCCTGTGCCCCGGTGTCCGGCTGAAACCGAGGCAGGAACACACCTACGTGTGTCAGCTGGAGCCCCTGGCTCGGTGACAGACATAGAGGTTTGACCTCAGCCTCTGTGGACGGAGTGTTCCCATCCCAGGTTCCATCCTCTGGGAGATCTGCCTTTGGTTGTGGGAAGCCACTCCTCTTCAGAGGAAAGGCAGCGGTGGGTGTGGAGCAAATCCCCTGTTGGCTCTGGGGACCAGCATCCCTGGGGACTCACCCACTGTGAGCCAGCCGTGCCTGTACCCACTGAGAGAACAGCAGTGGCTGAATTGCATACACCATACTTCACACACCATGCTGTGCTTATCACAACAGTTCTGCTAGTTGGTGCTTTGGGAAAACATCTGCATATTGATGTGGGGTCAGTCTGTGAGCCCTCGCTGGTCCTTGGCTGGTCCTCAGGGTGTCTGTGCTCTGGCAGCTGTGCTTTGAGAGATGGGATTCCTTGAGAGGATGCTGCTCCAAGCTGCTGCTTAGCTGCCTCTGTCTTGGATTAATTACTGAGGACATTCTGTGACTTGACTGGATGTGGGGGTAATTATCAGCGTTGAAGAACTGAACAGGCTCCCAGAGCCAATGCCAGCCTGACATGTAGACCACAAATTTTGATTTTTTTATTATTATTCTTTTATATAATACAAGGTCCTGACTGGCAGCCGGGAATAATAAAACCTGTGTGTTTTGTTCATTACTTTTTTTTTTTCCCCACTATAAAAACTTCAGATCATCCTGTGAGCCAGAAGGGTGGAGACTGGTGAATCCAGGGGCTGCCAGGCTGGTAGGCCCTTGATGCCTCTGTTCTTGAGTAGCCATGAGCCATGGACAAGTCATGTCCCTTGGCTTTGGTGTTCCTTCTGTGATCAGCCCCAGCAGGGATCACGGCCAGGAGAGTCACTTGGGAGGTCTCACAGTGTGTCACCCACTCATGTGACATTCTGTGGTTGACTGGCAGTGTGTAAACTCTACCAGCTCTGACATGCTGTTGTTTGCTGCCTTTTGTCGTCAGAAGGTGGTTTAAGGCTGTGAGAGAAAATGCAGGAATGAATTCAAGACTCCGGTGTCTGGCACATGTCCCCAAAGCACTTGTGCATGTCCTGTTTGTGCACAAATAGCAGTGACCTGTGCTGGGCAAAGGCTCTTGGTGCATGCAGGTGCACGGTGGCTGCAGTCCTGCCAGCAGTGCCAGGTCTTTCTTTGAGCAATTTGGAGTGTCCTGAGTAGTTGTGAGAAATGTGTGTTCCTGCTGTCTTGGAGGCTTATGGATGGGAAGGTTGTCCAGGTGGAAGGTCACGCAGCAGGCAGAGGGAAATCCTGGCACGGCAGCCTCCCGAGGGCTTGTACAGAGGGAACTTGCTGTTCCTTTACCAAGGATAGTGAAACTGTGATTAAATGTTGAGCAAAAAAGCAGTTCCTTATCTGAAACTGTGATGTAAATACTCCGTTTGCCATCCTGACATGACACACAAGGTGCTGCCTGTTTGCTCCTTGTACTCAGAGGGTGCAGTGAGTTTCAAGCTGTTTGGATGATGGAGGTCCAGTGTTCATCCTGCATGGCCCATGGCAGGAGTGAATCACAGGATGACAGAATGGTTTTCTTTGGAAGGAGCCATAAAGTCCATCTCATTCCACCTCCTGCCATGGCAGGGACACCTTCCACTGTCCCAGGCTGCTCCAAGCCCCGTCCAACCTGGCCTTGGGCACTTCCAGGGATCCAGGGGCAGCCACAGCTGCTCTGGGCACCCTGTGCCAGGGCCTCAGCATCCTCACAGGGAAGAATTCCTTCCCAATATCCCATCTAACCCTGCCCTCTATCTGTTTAATGCCATTCCCCCTTGTCCTGTCACTCCAGTGGTACTGTACAACCAGAGGACGAGTCTTGACGTGTATTTAGAGTTCACAGTTGTGGTGTGGCTTGGCTTGATCACGAGCTGAGCCCTTATCATGATTTGCCAGATACAAATGCTCATTCCTGAAGCCAGGCTCAAAATCATACTCCTGTTATATTTTTGAACTGCTAAAAAAAATGAAGTGTGTCCTCTTTGTGTTTTAAAATCCATTTTCAAGCTCTATTCTGGAGCCAGGAAGGATGGGAACTTTTGCAAATGAATAAGGCTGCTGAGATCCTTCTGCAGTCACAGGACCCCAAGAAACTGGCATTCAGAAACCCTCCCAGACACTGCACTATATACTATAGTATATAGTTATAGTGATGGGATGTTATAGTGATGGGATGGAGAGTCGTGAAGACAGAGCATGCACTGCTCCATGTTAATGTTGGTAATACCTTCCAGGGACAGTGGAGCTTCAGGCTCCACCTAGTCCACTATGCAGAGATGTTTTCTATCAGTTCAAAGCTTTTACTTCAGGGCAGTGTAGGTTTGGTCCTGAGTCATTTGTCCTGTTCAGAGCACCCAACTTAGCAGACAGACAAATAAAATAAACCTGACAATGTTAGGTCTCTGCAGTGCTGCTGTCACATGTAGCCTGGGACAAAAGCACCCTTTGGGGTGCTGAGGATGCCTGCCCTGGACACAACCTCCTTCCTTCCTGGATGTGGGAGTCTCCTCTCACTCCTCACGCAGCAC